TTTCCAGTAATGCCCTTGAGCCGGGCCTGACACATAGGCCTGCTGCCTTTCCACCAGGGCAGGGAGTGCCACCCCTCCTGCCTTCCAGTCTTAGCATTTCCAACGCCCCTAGGCCAGTGTCCCCAGCCTCCTGTGGGCCAGGCACTCAGATAAGTGGAATTGGACCTGTTGATCTCCTTCTTGGCTCAAACTGAAAAGGTACTGCTTCCTCTAGGCCTGGCCCTGTCTTTACTATTCTATGACCGTGGTGTTTGGGAAAATCTGTTACTTTGATTCAGAAGGAGTAAAAGAAAGGCTGAACCTCAGTCTCAAGGAATCTCATGGTCAGAATGCTAACGTACAGGGCAGAGACTAAGCTCTCGGACAATGGGAATTTAAAAAATCTAATACAAAGGCAAGACACACGTACGCATGTATGTATGTCTGTATGTATTCATTCGTTCATTTATGTATTTAAAATAAGCTAACTTAAGCCGTGTGTTTTCCAATTCAAAGGATGTGGAGTTTCACCTCTGTTCCAGCGGGCTCTGCCTCTGCTCTCTGAGCAGGCAGCTCTGATCCTGGGCTCTGAGGACAGTTTGGATAAATCCACAGGATGAAAGCTACTTTAAGCCATGTCCCAGAAAGGGTGGGCAAGGGTGGCCCCTGTCCCTAGCTGGGAGATGAGGAGAACGGTGACATTCTGGTTCTCAAACTCTCTGTCCCTTCTGCTACAGGAATACCTCTGAGGGAAGTCGAGGAAAAATGAGAGAATCCTAACAGTTCAAGACCAGGATAGGCGGAAGCGCATCCTTCCAGGAGCTTCCACAGGCTGCTGCAAATAGACGGCCTCATAGGGCTGGGTGGTTGATACACGTGCTTCTCTGACTAAGACTTCCAGGGCCCCAGAGGCAAGTATTTCACACTCTTCCCAATCTTGAACATAAGCCAGTGGGGAAAATGTCACTTCAAACCACAACTTCTTTCTTGAAAGAACTGGCCCTATCAGAGACCTGGTAGGTTTCTGAGAACAAAAAGGTGGGCTTGAGGAGGAGAATTTAGGAAAAGAACACCGGGAAGACTTTACCACGCAGCCTAGTAGAAAGGAATTTGGCTTTCTAGGGTCAATCAAGGAAGAGAGTTGAGGTGGAGGGATGGGAAGGGAGTAACAGGAGGAAGCTAGATTAGACACAATGGGCCAGGAAGCTTTGTGGGGTGGTGTGGCTAGTGAGAAGTCCCAGGTGACCAGAGAGCCAAAATAACTTTTCAGAACATTTCAGAAATGTGATTTTAAATGTTTGCTGTGTCATGTAATCGTCCCCATGGGGCCAACGAATTTTCATTAAAAGTTCCGCTACACGTTACAGCATTATTTTTGTGGTTTTGGAATAGGGGGTAGGGGTTGGAAGAAACAGGGGCTGTGTTCCCTATGTGAGTTGACAGCAGGAACTAAAGAAACGGTCACAAGACCAGAATAGTGAATAAAACTGCAGATGAAGCAGAAAGTTAGAGACAGAGATTAACGCCCGAAATTGAAGTACCCCCCGTAATCACAGGAATCCTGGGGAGGGTGCTGGACTTTCCACAGGACATGGGAGTTGAAGCCAATGTCACCTGAATCTCAAAGGGCACGCTACCTCAGCTGACATTAAGTTACATTAAGAGACAAACAGGCTCTGCCTCTCCAGCTGGACTAAGACTTGCAAAACATAAAATGCATCACATGTATTTTTACTATCCAGGGCCTAGCACAGCGACACAACATGGTAGGGCCCAATAAAAGCATGTGAATACTCCATCAACGCCGTAGGTGCCACAATGGGCGCTGACAGTCTAAGGCGTGTGTGTGTGTGTTGGGGGGTGGGGTGGCGTGGAATAGGAAAGTCATTCAGTCTGGAAACTCCCCCACCCCCCTCCTGCTCTCCACCCTCTGACCCATTAGCCCTGTCCCAATGGTGAGATAACATCAGCTCTGCGGCCTAAAGGTCTGTAAACAGGCAAGGCCCAGCGGAGGCATTGGTGGAGGAGGTCACAAAGGGTTATGCTTGCTGTGTCTGTTCTTCCCACTTCTATGGAGTCAAAGAAGCAAACACTGCCCTTTGGGAAGGGGCAGTGAGCGAGTGGGCTGTCTTGGGCCCCGATGTTTCCTAGGACTGGCTGCAGGACTTCTGGTCTTTGCTCCCAAGCACCTCCGCCTTACGCCTTTCTGAGGCCTTGACAGGAACCCTACAGCCCAAAGACCCCCCAGAGCAGCAGCGTCCCTGCAGGAACGACGCGCCGCTTGCAGGGCTGATGGTGCCACCTGGCGGCGCATAGGGTCCGATTCACTCTGGGAGCTTCCCCAGTGATCTTCGGCGGCCCAGGCCACCGTGATGAAGTCATGACCAAGCGCCGTTCGCCCCGCCCCTTGCCCCTCCCAGAGCTGCCAGTACTCGACGTGGCGTCACCGCCCTCTACCCTTACTTTGCGTGCGTGTGTGCGTGCGGCGGAGGTGTCGGCGCGGGCCGGTCGGAGCTCTGTGCTGCTCCTGGGGCTCCTGTCGCTGCTGTCGCTGTCCCGCTGTCCTGGACGGCCGAAAGGACGAGGCGCCGGCCCCAGCACCTCCGCACCAGACGCACTTTCTGGAACCTAGTTTGTATTTGCAAACATAGGAAATGTTTATTGGAAAGTATACTGTCAAAGGAAGATCAGTGGTGAAGAAACGGGGGGAAGGGGAGGGAAGGGATGAGGAGGGAGTCTGTTGTTGCCCGTGAAGCACGATGCCTGACGCGATGCCGCTGCCCGGGGTCGGGGAGGAGCTGAAGCAGGCCAAGGAGATTGAGGACGCCGAGAAGTACTCCTTCATGGCCACCGTCACCAAGGCGCCCAAGAAGGTGCGGGGGCTTTGGGTGGTAGTGGGGGCCCGGACTGGGGCCTCGCGGAAGGGGCGCGAGCGAGTCCCGGGCTCCAGCTAGTTCGCGACTTCTGGGGCGAGGTTTCATGGGATCGGGCAAGACTGAGATGGTGTAGGGGTGGCGGGTGAACGTTCCCAGGCCTATCCCGAGGTGGAAAGGCCGCCTCTGACCTCACTTTCCTTTGTCCCTCGGCCCTAGTCCTCCGGAATCTTTTTGAAACCCGACAGGGCCGGGCTTTAAATCTGCCCCTGACTTTTCCTGGATGAAGGGCCTCGAAGACGGGAGTGGTAAGGGGTGAACCACCTCATTTGACCCCTCTGGCCAGCCCCAGGGGATAGGGATATACAGAAAATCTCCCCTCGGGTGAGTGGGTAAGTCCGGTAGAGCTTCTTTGGGCAAATCTTAGCAGTGGCCGGTTTATTCAACAACTGCGTGCTAGCTTGGAGACAAGAGGAAAAAATGCGTGGAGCTAGCTAGCTAGCCCTTTTATGCCGGTGAAAGCAATGAGGGCAGCATGAGATTGAAAAATAAAACTTTGATTTTCACCTACGGTCCAGTTGCTTCGACTCATGTAAGAAATTAACATTTGGAGGTTGCTCACAGCAGACACTTTCATGGATACAGGTTGATCATAGTGTCGTGTGAATAGATCGCTTGAGTTCCCTTGAGAAGGGAGCTAGGGTGGGTTGGAGGGGTGGGTGGTACTGAACGATTGCTCATTCTTGACTGCACTTACTGAGGCAGAACAAGTTTCATCTATTGTGCAGTCGGTTGAGCTCAGAGGACGCCCTTCTGATTCTCTTGCCGTGGAAGATTAAATGGCAGCCTTTGGAGGTTTCAGTCTAACTAGCTCTCCGAGTGGCGGAATTGGGATCCCTCGTGCTTTCTGAGCATATGCTGCCAACCACGTCTTGACTTTCCACATACCTGGCATCCAGTTAACAGTAGACCAGAAAACCTTTGCAGAGAAGTGACCTTTCTGAAACCAGTGAAAAACTGGATAAATATTTCCCTCCTGTATAAAAACAGTGTGTTTCAAGGCTTTTCCACCCTACAGTGTTTGATAGATGCAGTGCTTGTATAAGCTGAACAAAGCCAGGCTTACAGGAATAGTTACAGTCCTTGAAGCTCCTACACTTGAACTAGTTAAACTGTCATAAGTGGGAGAGATTACTTTTTTTAAGGAAATTAATCTACCACTCCCAAAATCAAATGCAGGATTGAAAAGACAGGTCACTATTGTGTGCTTTAACTCCATTTTCCCACAAAATTAAGATCTCACTAGTAGAATGCCTTTAAAAAAGGTAGAACCCTTGATTCCAGGGAGTCTTATTAACCTTATTTTTAGTGCTCTCAGTTCAGCTGACTGCTTTGTTGGGCAGTAACCCTTAGTAATCTGTACTATTTGGAGACACAGTTACAGACTTTATAAGCAGAATCCTTAAGGATAGTACCTATTACGAGTTGGAAAGAATGGGAAAACCCTGGTACCCTAACTCCCTGAACTCTTCTCTCCCCATTAGCCTATACCCCTTTGTCTGGTTGCTTCAGAGATTAGGCCCCTTTATTTATACTTGCCTTTATTTTAGTAAACCTTTATTCTTGCAAGTGCAGGAACACTTGTTCACGTTGTATGCATTGTGCCTAGCTCCATACCTGGCATATAGTGGGTACTCAAATATTAATTGCCCACCTGCCTAACTAGTAATTCAGACATCTGTATGGCTGCCTACAAGGAATAAATATCCCTTTTCCTCTTTTCTTCCCAGGAGAAATATTGCTAATGTGTATTATTGTCAGGCCAAGTGCTAATGATTTTAGAGACTCATATTTTGTTAGCTGAAAGAAGCTATCTCTGCTAGGAATGTGGGAAGACCCCGTGTAAGTTTCCATTTGCTGGTAAATGTTTCCCTGTGTTTCATATTAATCTTGCTCTTTCTGAGCTTTATTGTTTAGCATTTACGCAGCACTTTGTATTAAAGTGCTTTATGATGACTAATTATCCTTCGCCTAGTGAATGATAAAAGACATTTAGTTAATGAGTTGGTTGAGCGCTAGTCAAGGTCAAGTTGCAGCAAGTACTAGGCGATCTGTTTTTTTTCAGAACTTTCAGCTGAAGTGGACGTTATGACCTAAGTCACTTTTGTACCTCTGCCGTGTGTTGATGGCGTGAGAAAGCATGAGAAAAGCAAGAGAAGAAATAAAGCTGGGTGTGTACTGAATGGTGTGAGAAAAAGGCCTTTTCAGACGGTGCTGTCTTTTACCTGTAAGGATTCTGATGTGGCTCTAGACCAAGTGATTCTTGGGTCATTCCAAGCCCTGGGGCCCCGTGGGAAATGAGGACATTTCTGGTGCCAGTCAGAGGCTGTAGGTTACTTCAGAGTGACCTTGATGGTCCTCAGATCAGATTCCAGTGTAACTGGTAAAATTTTATTTCCTTTGCGGAAGAGTGGATGTCCATCAATTAAAAGCAGAGATACGAGATTCCACAACTAATATCGTAACTTACTCGGATGTCCCGGGATCCACCACAGTACTATGTAGATAATAGGATTTGCTGGTTTGATGTAAGGCTTAATCTGGGTGTCAAGAAGCCAACTAAATGGGTACCACCTTAAGCAAGTGAGCTTCTGTGCCTCAGTTTCCTCATCTGCCAAATAAGTACTTTTTGTTTGCAACAAGTGGAGCTAGGCAAAGGTATGGAACTAAGAAAAAGTGATTTTTAAAAATAAGTCTATTAGCCTATTACATTCCCTCTTTTTAGTGAGCATTTGAGCTGCTTATAACGGCACATACACTATAGATAGGAAATCAAAACTGTGGAAAGAAAGAAAAAATGGTTAACCCTGAGGGCTAAGACAGTTGATGAGGCTGATCGCCATATGCAACTCTAAGCTTCCTAGGAGCCCAAGGATAAAGGGAATCCCAGCTTCCCGTTAGCAGACGTAGGAAATAATATATACCAATTCTTCAGGACGACAACTTGTGCTGACACTAAGTTCTAAAGGAAATTTTCATGGGACAGTATTAATAGCTATAATGTGATTCCTGTGGTAAGGTTTGTTCAGGGATGGCACTGGTGATTTCAGATGGTATTGCCAGGAAATTGTGGGTGAGGGAAGGAGTCCTTGAGTTGTAGGGGTAATGTACATTGTACTACAGCTAAAGAGGATCCTTGTTTAATGTTGTCAGTGGAACCAAATAAGTCAGCTAGTTCCCCATAATCACTGGGTATTTATCCTTCTTTTTCTGCTACTTTGTGTTGCAGGGTTGATAGCTTCCTTGGGCCTTTAGAAATTGACATTGTATCGAGTTGTTTTTTTTTTTTTTTTCATAGAGTAAACCTCAATCTCTAGTTCGTTGATGAAACTTCCTGAGATAGAAGATATGTTTCTTCTCTGGCAGGCCTGTCAGGACATATGCTGTTCTCTGCACTTCTGAACATTTGAGAGGACTCTCTGGAGTGATACATTAAGGCATTGACTTAGGATTTGTGCGGTCAGACCTTTATCACCAGCATAGGAGGGAAAAGGAGAAAACACACATAAAAAAATTACTTTGATCTTCATCGTGGGATATTCTTCCTTCGAATAAAGCATATCTAGCACTGATTCATCAAAGGAGCAAGCTGGGGCTCAGTAGGCATACCAGGTAGATCTCCAGTGAGGACTAAACCTTTTGGGTGGAGTCCAGGATGGTCCTCTTTATGGTTATGTTATGGCTAATTCTTGGTGCAGTTTTCTAGAATTTATACCAGCACTTCTTAAGAGTCATTGAGAAGAGATTTGATAGGTTGATGTTTCTTCTCCACATCATTAGTATCTCGCGATTCTCAGAGCAGCTACTGTTTTAGTGGCAGTCTTTGAAAAGGAGTCAGACGTGTAAAAAGATCCTATCTTGTTTAGATTTCTCCACAGATACTGGTTACCTCTCTTTTTCTTATTTGATTCTATTTAGTTAGTTCAACACTAGGTTCCATATCACTTTGTGTTAACTTCCTTTAGACTTTTAGCTTGTAACAGAGCATTTTGTTCATGGTCTAGATCCCTTGCCGGCAAGATTACAAATGTGTACCATTTGTTTTATCTGGTGGGTATCATTTGGATCCAGTGCGTGCTAACCAATATAATCTTATAAAGTTGCTTATAAAGTTTTTCATGTATTTTGGTACATTGAATGTAAACCTTCAGTTGTCTGTGACACTAAATAAGTTTACTCTGCCACCTCACGTAGTATGGTCTATAAACAAGCAATTTAATGCCCTCTTGGGGCTGTTATTTAAAGGAACTGGCCAGTGAAAGAGAGTCATTTATACTCGTCTGTTTCTCCAGTTTGGGAATCTGAGTATTAAAATTTATAAAGAAGGGCCACTCATTCTGGTTGTAATAATTCATAATATATTATATTGAGGTGGTTTGAAAGCACCCATCATGTATGAAGAACAACTCATTCGTATTGACCAGAGTTTTTTCAACCTGAAATCCAAGAATCCAAAGTTAAAGACCGATTCTTACCACAAATTTTCTTTCCAACTCATCAACACTATCAGTGCCTTGCATATGACAAGCAGTTAAAAATTCACACAGAATTATGATCACCTTTTCTCTTCTGAGTCCATATTTCCCTTTGACTCATTCCGGTAATTCTCTTGCTATCTCACTGTTGCTTGGCTGTTAGGTGAAACCTCTTTAACTTTCCCTTTTTCCTAAAACTGTGAGTAGTAGCACAATGTAAGTCAAGCAGTTGGTTTTTGGAGTCAGGTTTACCATCTGATAGCCATGTGAGTTTGGACGAGTGGCTTAACCTGTCTGAGCCTCCATTTTCTTCCTTCCTTTTATCTGTACATGACTTTATTTCACTGTCATTCTTGTAAGATAGTTTTGCTGGGTACACAATTTTATGTTGACAGTTATTTTTCTCAACACTTTGAAGGTATTTTTCCATTGCCTCATTTATCCTTAATTATCAATAAATAAAAG